TGACAGCCAATGAAAGAGCAATATTAATAATCATTGGATAATTATTTCCCTAAAAAAATGCCATAAAAAAATGAAGGCACGTGTGTTATGTTGCAAGATGTCCTACCAAAAAGTAGGTATTAATACTTAGTATACAATCAAAGAGCAAGAGTAATAACCAATGGGTAAATATTCTCCACGAGAAAAAAAGTTGACATAAAATATACTTAAAAAAGCAAAAAAAAACTCCTTTTATGTACCTACGAGCTAAAACTTGAAAACATGTGTAGATATTGAAGAAAGCGAAATAATAACACAAACCAACTTATAGGTCCCCATGATGAAAAATCTGTAAGAAACCGGATATTGCTCACAAAAAATATACTTCCAAAAACTACACGGTTGGATATCTCCATTTTTAAGGTTTGCTGAAAAAGACAAGCTTTTCTACTTTTATCTCAATCAAATTTCAATAAGAATTATAGAGTTTTAAAAAATTATTAAAAATAATCATATAATTCACTTTAGTACCAAACTGGTCATAAGAGATGTTGAAATTTTATATACTATATATTAAAAATTCTTTCCACTAAAATCATTAATGACAATAATATACAAGATGATAAGGCACAAATGGTGATAAGACACAATATACAAAATTCTTTCCACTAACATTGATTGAAAGTATACATGGTGATAAGGCATATGCAAAATAGTTAAAACAATTTAAGATACATAATTAATGATATGCTGGGAAACATAAATATCCTTACAATAAAAAGACCCAGCAATACAAAAAGGATATCGAATTAACAACTTCACAAATAACTGAAATAAACCTAGATGCCTAGTAACAATTAGAAGTTGTTGACTCTAATAAGGTAATTTGCTACATAGTGAAAATGTTCAAAAGAGCCCTCTTGTTAGGCATTAGCTCATAAAACATTAGGGTCCAAAAGACCCTTATAGCAAAAAAAATAACTTGTAAAGCTTGACACCCCTAAAGAAGGAAGGAAATATGGTATTAACATATGTGGATATAATAAACACAATAAATACCAACTTGATTCAAAGAATAGTCAACCAAAAAAAAACAACCTTGCTACCTCTTCACCATACCATACTGAATCACAAATATAAATTTGTGCATCCTCTTGTAAGGCAAGTATTGAATCCAAGCCTTGTCAACAATATCACCATAAAGAATGCACTTGATACGATTCTTCCTGCAATAACCATGAATATACCAAGAGAATCCTTTTGTCATAAAATAATTCATCATGGACTTAATTGAGATGGATTAAAAAACAAAAAAGGCACTCAACTGTTTGTCCTAGATGACAAATTTCAAAATGTAGGTCTGCATACCATTCACCTTGGTCCAACCAATATCATAAGTACATATTAATAGTCCACAGACATCTAGGAAAAAAGGAGCAAAGTAAGAAAGTCTAATTCTTACACCTCAATTACTGTGGTTACTTAAAAAAAAATTGATCACTTACCCCTTAAGCGACAGAGAGCCTTCTACTCTGTCATCATTTGCTGAACAAAATAAAACTTAAAGCATAGGCATTGGTAAAGATGTCTTTTTGATAACTATGTATTCTTTCAACTGAATGTGGTAATGGTCATGGAGAGCTTCACCACCTTTGGAAATGAAGAAGTTCTCCAAGTAATATGTTTTGGTCTCATCAAGTCGGTTAGAGAACAGATTCATTATTTGGTTGCCAATTTCCCTTGCCAACATCCTTATGCCCTGATCAAAAATAGAAATTAAAAAACAGGTAATGAAAAAACAAATAATATAATATGAAATGAAACTGACTTGCTCATTGAAAATAATAAAATCCATGGAGATACATTTTTTTTTGATAACCATAGTCCTTCTCAAGCATTTCAAAAACAATTCCTAGGAAAACACGTCAACCTTCACCAATACTCTCCAATTCTCCATTGGAGGAGCAATCTCATTCAGGATATTATATTCAGTTGCCATTTTATGAAGAGGAAATGGAAAGAAAAATAAGAAACAATGATGTGATAGAAGAAACTGGAGCACAAAATATGAAAATAATGCACAGAGAAGAGGGAGGAAGTTGTAAGGGAAAGAAGTTGAATATTTTATATTGTGAAAAAAGGCCTTGTATGAATTTAGACTTTAAGGTCCAATAAATGAAAGAAGCACAATAGTGAGTTAGTAATAAATTCCACAATATCTTTTATGAAGAGATGTACAGTCATAATAAGTAATTATTGAGAACATGACAAAGAATAAATAAGAACTCACCGGACAGTGGTTGTTACTTTATGGAAACAATAATTACAAATAGCCAAGAACTCAAAACACTTCATATCTTAAAAGGCTTCATTACTTTTATATGCCATCTCCCTTACAATATATTTTGAATCAGATTTCTTCCACCAACACCGATACACGTAGGGAGACTTATGGCGTAGAAGTATACATAGCCAAGAGGATTGCAAGGGAGACCATACAAGAGTGAAGAAATACATAGAGCAAGGAAGCTTGAAGGGAGGACCATTCACGGAGCCCAAGGCTTGAGTTGTTACTATTCATAAAGCCGAAGTTGGCTTTATGAATAGTAAAAGCAAAGAGGAGCCGTGAGGATGCATGTTTCAGTCGAATAATGTGCCATTTTGATTTATATGATATATTGATGTTGTTATTGTGAATATGTTTGTTGCTATTTCAGTTTGAAAGATAGTAAAGTTTTCTACCAAAAAAAAAGGTTAATCAACATCATAGACCTTAAACTATTGCAAGAATAATATTGTAAATACTGAACTCCTGAAATATGCAAAATTCTCTCAATTTTTAAATTCCGAGCACTTGAAACCTGCTGTTAAGTTGAAAAAAATGGTTGTTATTTTTAAGGGTTAAGATAAGTGGCACATTTGCTTGTGGCTAGGCCCCATAACTATAAAAGTAACACCGATTTTTTTCAACTTAACTATAGGGTTTTAGGTGCTCAAACTTTAGAAGTTGAGGGAGTTTTTGTACACTTCAAGAGTTTAGGGTCCAAGATACTATTCATGTAATAGTTTAGAGTCTAAAACATTCATTAATAGAAAAAATTAATTGGTCTCATTTGTTTGTTATAAAAAAGTTTAGATGAATTATGTTTTGGGGGCTCACCAGGGCCAAAACATGTTTCTAGAGTTAAATAGTACTTACAGAGTACTTACAAATCACTAGCCAAAGTCCTCATATTGACAATAAGATTTGAACCCACAATCCTTATATATTATGAGTGCCACGTCACCATGCGAGTGGGCTCCATAACTACAAGAGCAGCACCCATTTTCTCCCAACTTAATGATAAGGTTTAAGGCACTAGGAATTTAGAAGTTGAAGGGAGTTCTAGTATATTTCAAGAGATTAGGGTTTAGAATGCTATTCGTGCAATAGTTTAGGATATAAGATACTCATTAATTTTAAAAAAAACATGGATTGGTTGGTCGCCTTTTTTTTTGTTACAAAAAAATTTTGGATTGAGTTAGGTTTTGGAAGCTCACTATGGCCAAAGCATGCTTCTAGAATCAAAAAGATAGAGGTACTTACAAATCACTCGCCAATATCCTCACATCAAAAGCAAAATTTGAACCCAAAACTTTATGAATTATAAGTCAAATCCTTATAAATTATAATCAACTTTTTGTTGGTTGGTCTCATTTTTAAATGTGAGTCTCCCTGCAGCATGATCCAATTATTAATCGTGACCAAGAGATCAATTCTAAGCCAACACATCATGCTTGATGTGTGGAAATACATGTGCCAGTTCAACTTGTTGGACTTTGACCGCAAAAATTAAAACACATTGAGCCTTTCACAGTAATGGGCTCACGCCCAATACTAATTTTCTGTTTCAACCTATGTCCAGACCGAGAAACAAGAAAGCTCCACCATTCGTTATTGATCATCAGTCTCAAATTTGGGAAGGTATGAAGTATTAAAATTTTAAATAAGTATCAATTAGAATTAAATTGTAAATTATTTTATTTATATTTTTTTTGTAATATATTGATTTGTTATGGCACATCTAATTTTCATTTAGAGTTTTTCTTTTAAAAAAATTGTCCAATGAATCTCCATGTGATGAGAACCTTCTTGCATTTGAGGTCATGGCCTCGAAATTTTAATGGGTTTTCTTAAAGTAAAATTTGAGCATTTATGGTCTAGGTTGTATTTATTTGTTTGTTTGTTAATTATTTTCAAATGTAATTTTATCATGAATGAACTCAAATCAAATTAAAATTTATGAAAAATACTGTTGCTGATTCTCGATGTCAAGTTAACTAAGAAATTTTTAAGTGTGCATGAGTTATAAATCAAATTGTAGATAACTCTGAAATGAGAAGTATTAAGAGTTATTTCGGGAGTATCCTAAAATATTCAATATTAGAATTTGACTTTGGTTTAAATGGCAAATTAATCTCTAAACTGTAGGTCCGTGAGCGTTTGAAATTTTAAACTTATTTTCCATACAAGTTTCTTTTTAACTTTTAAAAATGGTGTAATCTTACTTTTACCGTTGGTAAAAGTTAATTTTAACCATTATTTGACCAGAAAATGATTAAAAAAGACATAAAAAGTGACAGATTAGACAAAAAAAATTACAATACAAGGTCCAAAAATTACAAGAACTCAAAAATTATAGAAAAAGCCCAAAAAAAATTATAGTATATGAGGTCTTGAATTTGAGTTTAGTGAATGAAAAAATTGTCATTTTAAAACCTTTAAACTCACATGATTAGAACCAAGTTAATTTGGAACAGTTATGACTTGCTATGAACTATTTGATATTATATGAAAAAGTATACATCAAAGGTCTACTAGGAAAACAAGGCCAATATATATACTTAATTTGTTCTAACCCTAATTAACATGCCTTAATTAGTTTGAATAAGGATGAACATATGATTTTTTTTTTGTTTTGGCTATTAGGATAAACATAGGAATTTAAATTATCATTATATATTAAAAAGTGAATTATCTTTTAGCATGATGGATCGCGACCTAGTCTGAGTTCTAAGTCCACCACTATTTCTTGACCATCTTCCTGATGATTCACTGATCTATCGCCATTAACGTCCTCATGACGAGCTGGACCAATATTCACATTCAATGACTGATGAGACCACATAGGGTTTATATGCTGGAAAATGGAACCGTAATACCTGAGAAACTCATCGTTATTCAATAACTTATCTTTGTTGTCCATGGAAGATTTCGCGGTCTTCGTCTTCTTCGTCTTTGTCATCGTCGTCGCAGCAGCTTCTTCTTCATCGTCCTTGGCTTTCTTTGTGATTAGTCTGTGTTTTCTGTGAATGTTCATGTGACCTCCTAATGCTTGTGCGTTCGTGAAGCCTTGTTTGCAGAATGAGCATCCATAGTAGGATCGTTTGATTGAGCCTTTAGAGCCATAATATTCTACCTCTTCTTCTTGATGATGATGACGACGACGATGGTGAGTAGTGTCTTCCATTGAAGATTCTGATGTGACCTTAATTTCTGGCTTGTTCTTTGAGAGGAATTAAATGAGGAACACAGTAGTAGAAAGTAGGGTTTTATATGGAGAGAGAATTAAAGAGAGGACAATTAATGAAAGAGAGGTATTACATGGAGACAAGTAGAAAATTACAAAGGCTAGTATCTTGGCTTTTAATTTGTTCATGGATTTCACACACACATATAAAGCCGGCACTCTGATGTAATCCATATTTTTGTTCTCGACAAAACACATGTACATTCTTGAGTAAATATATATATAATAGTAGATCCCGATACCTTGATCGCATTTTATTTTTAGCCTCTATGATTTTTTTTTTGTTTTGGTCAATTCAGTCACATTAGTTGGATCCATCTATAACTTTAGTCCTTATAATTTTAAAAATGCATATAACTAAAGCCCATAAGTTAGCAAAAATGAAGTTAATTTTACTTCCCTTTTGCCAACGCGTGTTTAATCTCGCTTTGGTCTCCCAAACTTTTGTTTAAGCTTAATGTAAAAGAAAGCTTTTTCCCCGTCTTACCTTTTATTTTTAATCATAAATATACGGTCAATTTATTTCCATGTCAGCATATTTTTACCATGCGAGTAAAGGATTAGCAAAGTTACAATGGAATTAACTCTGTCAACGTTCGCTCATGTTTTTTATGTACATTTTTAAAACTATATGGACTAATGTTGCAAATTGATCAATTTAAACTAAAAGGACTGAGAGCAATTAAATAAAACTGTAGGGACTAAAATTAAAATAAAATACAATCAAAATAGAAAAACCTAATATTGCATTTTCCTAATATATATTGGGAGAGCTTTGCACTCATGTCATACGATTAGAATCGACCTGAATTAATTAGAAACTAATTAATGCAGTTTTCGTAATTCTGATGGTATTATCCTAAAAAAAATCATAATTATGTCCTTAGATGAATATATACCAAATTTAATTAACTGTTATACATAATTTACTTATAACATTGGTGTTACATACTTACATACAATAAAAGGAGAATGATGACAGTAAAGTCTAAAAAAAAAATCAAATTAATAATAGTTAGATTTCGACAAAATTTTAATAAAAATAAATTATAAATATTAATTTAAATAATTGTAAATATAAATCCTAATTACATATAGGGTGACTTTAATTAGAAATAAAATGTCTCTTTTGCAATTAGAGAATTCTTAAATATATAAGTATTTAAATGGATATTTACAATTTATTTTTTTAAAAAAATTTATTGTAACATTAATTGTCATTCTTCCTACAATATATAAATCATCGCAAAATTGTAAGTGGCACTACCTGACTCTACTTATAAGTTCTGTTTGGCTTTTGTGTTAGAGCAAAAATACTAAGAAGCAGTAACACAAAAATTATTTTTTAATCTAGATTTTACATTGATTAATAAAGAACCAAATATAAATAGTGTAACCGGTAACATTTTTATAAATACGCTGAATTATTGTCTAATCAGCGTAGCCATATCTTAATCAGACAAATTCAGGTGCATATGAAAATATTACGTTAATACACGAATACAATGATGAAGAAATATGGTGAAATTCAAAAGTGATTTAACACTCTCACGTAATTAATGATATAGAAAATCATCAACTTGTTGAATGTTCTACTAACAGCAAAAAGGAAAATGAACATATTCTGATTCCGTATTTCATTTTTCCATTTTAAACCATTATGTTTTATGTATATATATATTATAATATCTCATTTTGATGATGATGATGATGATGATGATGATGATGTAGAGTATCTTTATATAACAACAACAATATCTCGTTCTTACAGTGAAACACAAGGATTTATCTTTTTATGTTTATTTATTATTTTTTAAAAAAAATTAATTATTTGGTTTATGTAGTTTTGATTTAGTTGTAATTTAATCCATGAATTTTAATTTATTATAATTCAATCCTTATAGTTTTAACTCAATTGTAACTCAATCCCTGAACTGTCTCTTGCAATTCAACCCTTATAATTCCAACCATTTAAATATTAGCCTCCATACTTTAAAAATAAAATTATAAAGATTAAAAATATTTTAAACTTTTAATATTTATAAAGATTAAAAGGGTTTAGTAATTTAAAATATTAATCATAAATTTTTAACATAATTTTAATCCTTACAATTTTATTTTTTAAAATTTAGGGATCAATATTTAAATGATTAAAAATATAAAAATTAAATTATAAGAATTAAATTTAATAATTAAATTAAAATTAAGTTAAAAATTAAGTTATAATGAATTAAAGTTGAGACATTAAATAATTATTATTATTTTATTTTATTTTGTTTTGTTTTGTTTTGTTTTTTTTTTTTTGTAGATGTAGTTTCGAGAGAGATTTGTCTCGAAATACGTAACTTCTCTTTTTGCATGTGAAAGCAAATTCGATTTTCAATATACCAACAAAGAAGGAAAGTGGTTTGAACTTTGAAGTAGTGGAAAGAGATCTGAAATTTATTTTGGTACGAAAACGCGTTTGAGTACATTCAATTTTTTTTTTTTTTTCAAAACCATAGAAATAACTCTCTCTCTCTCTCTCTCTCTCTCTCTCTCTCACACGCTTAAATTAGGTTTTTCAGGTCATTTTCATGCACTTTAGTAGCAGCTACTCTATGCTTCTGATTTAACCCAAAGTGGATATTTTTCCTTGTGCATTTTTTAAATTATACATATTTTCTTAAATTTAAACCCAAAAAATATTGATTAAATAAAAAAAAGTTGTGCATTGTCCAGTAAAACATGTGAAAAAGTTTGGAAGAACTAAAACAAAAAAAACTGAATTGTTGCATTTTCCAATAAAGTATGTGAAGAAACATAAAAGAATAAAAAAAAAATCAGTTAGAACTAAAAAGATTCAACTCTATTCATGACTTATACATATAACTCAACTTCAAATAGATTCATTATTGTATATGAATTCAATTTTTTATCTTCATTCTAAAATGTTTTATTTATTTGAAAATTGGAGAAGAAAGATCACTTTTGTCCGCTTTATCCTTTGAAGGACTCCAAAATGTTATTAAATTGAATATAAGTTCATCATATTGAAGAAACTAAATTGCATATATGTTATATATAAAATTACATATCTATCTCAATACATACATACATATATATAGACACACACACACATATATAATTTTAATGTGTTTTGAAGGACTACAAATATTTTTTCTGATAGAAGAGACCAATCTTCTTCATAACGAAAAATAAAGATAAAGTGTGATCAAACCTCTTTCAATTAGATTTGTTCATATTACATACATACATACATATATAAGTGCATGCATTCATGCATGCATGTATCTAATTCATATACTTAGACTAATTTACACTTTTAATAAGTTAGTGAATGATATTTAAAATTACACATTCTTTTCATATTTATATTCTTATTTAATATTGTGTCTAATTAAAATACTTTTTTTGTTTAAACGCAATTAAAAAACATTATTTATTTTACCTTATAGTTAAGGGAATTCATGAATTAGCTTATTAATTAGTAATTACACATTAAAAATTTAAAATGCTTTATATTTTTTAACAAGATACTTTAGAAAAGGTGTTTTATAATATTTAATAAAGGGAGTGTGTGTATATAGGATAAAGTGCAACAAAATTAAACATTCTCAAATCTTTACATATTAAATTTAATTTTTTTAAAATAACAATGATTGGTACAAAAGATAATTATTTAAAATTAAGTAACTAATAGTGTAAGGTTAGAGTACTGAAAAAATATTTATTACAATTAAAGGATTAAACTAAAATTTTATATAAAGTTGGAAGACTTAATTTATATTTTAACCTGTGTGTGTGTCTGTGTGTGTATTCTGGTGTAGTTACTTGTAGATATTGAATCTGACTCATTTGAACTCAATGATCCCAACGAAAACAGACAGCTATATAAAGGAAGATCAGATCAAAAGGAATAATTTTGCGGGTAATACATTAATTATTTTAAAGAGATGCTAATGCTATGGACACATGTGTCTTGTTCTGATGTGCATATATATATATAGTTGCTTAGCTGGTTCTTCCTGGACTTGCAGGCACCTTATATGGCCGTTTCATCCCGGTCGCTCTCTTTTAAAATGCTTTTATTCCTTGACAAACATTCAAAATTATCTAAATAAAAGAAATTATTATTGCGGTCGTATGATGTTAATTTTTTTAACTTTTTTTTTAAATTAAAAGGGCGTACTACTCTATTTTCAAAGATAAGAGAAACCACCTTATATTTCTTTTTTTTTTTTTATAAGCAGCAGCAGCATAACAAAAACTAGTTTTATTTCACTAAGTAGGGTCAATATCAACCAAAATTTTTGGAATATTGTTAATTAAAGAGGTTTCATTCAACAATTTTCATAAGTATTCTTTAGTCTTCCTTAACCTCTCTTTATAGGACTCAAGATTATCCGTTTCATTCTCCTCATCAAATTCTCTCCCACATCATTTTTTGTATAAGTTCAAATCATCTCAGACGATTTTTAACCATTTTTTCCTCAATAGATGTCATGTCCACTTTTTCTTACATACACTCATTTTGAATTTTATCTTTTTGTGTATGCATGTATATCCATCTCAACATTCTTATCTCTGCTACTAACTTTATATTCCTACTATCCATTTAAAGTCTAATTCACTATATCATATAACATAACTAGTCTTATGACAGTTCAATAAAACTTCCCTTTAAGTTTATTAGATATTTTTCATTCACAAATAACTCTTTAATATTTTTTTAATTAAACCACCTAACTTGTATCATATGCTCAATGTAACATCCTCATTAATTTTCCCATCATGTTGAATAATAGCTCTCAAATATCTAAACTTTTTACTTGAGGTATAACCTGATCTTTTAATTTTACTTTCAAATTACTATTGACTGATCTCTTATTAAAATTATAATGTAAATATTATATCTTACTCTTATTCAGGCGAAAATC